ATGTAAAACAATATTTCCTTCACACATCCCAATGTCCAGATTTCTTCAAACCTCCTATTAGTTCCTTTAATGTAAAGGCACCGGTACTATTACTGAACAGTTCCTTGTTCCCAGTACTGTGTCCTTCATCAGAAATGAGTCTAGTTCCTGGACATATCCCAGTGTCCTCCTCTTTGGGCCTGTAATAAATATGTCTCTGTTTCCGCTGCTCACATTTGTGATGAAACACCGCATCACCACATGTGGTGGACATGCACACAGTTCCTGGTACTAAATGATGTCTAGTTTTTGTCCTGACTGCAGATCTTTATCACTGAGTCCTGGTACTGTGACTATGTCCTGGTACTAGTACTGGTTTCTAGTTTTAAACCACAGATCACTCACACTCAGTCTCAGTGAAAACACATACAGTCCCTGATACTGTAGTGCTAAAGTCGAGGAGCTGTTGGCTCTGCTGCAGGTCACAGTAGATGATTGGTTCTCAGGAAGTGTGATGTTGATGTGCTGCTGTGTAGGTTAAAACCAAAACAAGACCTGAAAGCCAAATCTATCTAACCCTTCTGTGTGTGCGCGTGTGCATGTGTGTGACCTACATTCCCATCCATGCAGAAGTAATGTGCACTACATGACAGAGACTCGTACACACAGTACTGGTTGGTAGCTCCGTGATCTACGTTTATAATATATTCTGTTACTCTCTGGATCAAAAGCCTTCCTCTGTGATCCACGTGCACACACATGCACACACATGCACACTTTCACTCCCTGGAGATGCTGCAGATGAAGTAGCTGAATCTCTGATCCTTCAGCTTTCCTGTCACCACCTCAGTAAAAACCTCATTCTATCTTTAAAGGTACAGTGAGCTGAAATTTCCATTAAAAAAGTAAAGCAGGCAGTCGTACAAAATTAATGACTTAATTCATTTTTTAAAGTGCAACAACAAGGGCTGGTGGTATGTTTTTGTTTATGTTTATTCTTGATGTGGAACTCGAAGAGACACGGTCCCCACAAAGACAGCTATACAAGTGTACGCGCACACACCCCTAACTGGATCATACAGTAGTGAGAAGATCCTCCGAAGAGGAACGCTGTAGGCAGAAGGATGTAATGGATAGGGATAGGCAGCGCTCCTCCCCACTCCTCTGTCTCCTGCCCCTCCTCCCTTCTCTCCTTGACTCCTTTCCTTCGTGGCACTGTGCTTTTCTGTTTGCTTCCTCTTTCATCCATTTCATTAATCATTTACCTTTATTCTCTTTAAATTATGATCTGCTCATTAAAATGTGTCCTGTGGTATTTTGACATTTAGTTCTTAATTTTTTGGGGGGGAGGGTAATTTGAATGTAAGGATAATCTCTAGAGAACCACTCAGATATTTGGGGACAATCAAAATATTTTACTTGTAGTAGTTCCACCTTCTGTAGCATCAAATTGTTGGGATCTAACCAGTAATCGTAGGAGTCGTTCACTTCCTGTACATTTTGTTATAATTTAGTTATGCAGTTAGTACAGACGGGCGTCATATGGTGAAAGACACAACGGTTTGTCAAATAAACTACAATGGCAGAGGAGAAAGAAAAGGAGGACAATCTACATGTTGCACTTGTCTTTTTTTTGTATTTGTGGAGAGGGAGATTTCACCAGTATACCAGCCCCAGATTATAAACCCTGGTGGAACAGATGAGACTGGATTAACTGACCTATATCTGAGTCACATCATCTAGTCACATGACCCCGGCATGGATCTTTGTCACTTTCAGGGTGTCTACTGCAACTGTTTGTGTTTGACTGAACAATGCCGTTTCTTTCATCACACAGCCACAGGCAGGTTCCACACTGGGACCAAAGGTTATCCATTTGTTTACAGAAAAAAAAAGTTTCTTCAGCATAAAAACGAGTTTTAAAAAGTTTCAGTTTAAAGTCTGATTGTGTGTCCCTGTCTTAGTGTTTCTACCTTTTCTATTCACGCTGAGACACACCAGACCTGAGGACTTTAGAGAAATCCTTGGTTTTACCTCGCAGGGATGCAGGCACTCCTGATCCACTGTTGCCTCTTGTGGTCGGTTTGTGTCACTGGTCAATCTGAACAAACACTGTTTAACACCCATCGTATAAAAGAGCGTATTTTAACTTAGCAGCGTTAGACCAACAATTGGAGTGTCCTGGAGCGCTAGATTCTCTAAGGGTTTGGTAGTGACTACAAATCAACAATCCACTGTCGAAACTGTTAGTCTGTCCTCACAGTGATGGTGGATGCTCTCAATGCCTTTTTTGATAAAGGTAGTCCATGGTTTTCGTTTTTGTTTATACCAATAGATGTTTTAAAAAAGAATGCAGGTTAGTGGTGGCTGGTGCATTGTGGGAAAGATTGCAGATTGTAATGAGTATCAGGTTGAGTTCAAGTTTATTGGAATCTTCTTTTATCAGCTTTCTGAGTTGTTTTTAACACCACCAACACTGTTGAACTTGCATAGGAGAAGGGCTGGGTGAACTACACACCTGTGTGTTTGTTTGTGTGTGTGTGTGTCACCATGGATTTATGTCCAGTGTCAGACCTTAGAAACACATGATGCATGATTGGAAATGCTTATTACATAAGTCAGTGTGTGATTTCTTCCGAAGGAGTTCAGGTGACTAATGATGATGTCATCACAATGTCACAACAAACCGGACTGCCCAGTGTTAAGGACTGGATACTAAAGAGTCCTGTAACCAAATGATGGGCGACTGTTGAGTTAAATGCTTCAGGGGGTTTCTAAAAATGTTTATGAATAAGGATCGACGTTCCCGAAACAACACTGTTGTTTTTCAGTGCTAACAGATTTTTGTCCAAACAGTATGTTAGATATTTTAATCAGGAAAATGGAGACTTTTATTCTGAAAACCAAAATCTCATTTTTTTGTTTTACATTCACAGACCACATTTGACCAACATTAGGTTGGTAAACTGGGTGTGAATAAAAGAAAGCTTTTTTTTTTTACTATCATTTCTGAGCTCTCTCACAAACTGACCAGGGGAGGCAGTAGTGGGCTATCAACTCCTGTGTCTCCATGAGATTGAGTGCAGTAGTGCATGAGGTTACCTGTCAGCAGAGTAAAGCTTCTTCAGATGTTCATGAAGCTGTTTTGTCTTCTCAGTTGTGTAACAAACTAGTTTTGTGACGTTGAACGGCTCCAGCCTGGAACACATTCCTACCGTGCTTGTGTGAAGACACCTGCCAGTGTTAGTATGGACTGTGACATCATGAATACCAGGTTCAATCTCTGACTGTACCTGAACTTCAGGATTTTAACCCATTATATTTGTATTCATTCTTTGCTGAATGGAAGGCAGTCACATAACATATTAAAAGGAAGTTGGGTGATTTTTTTTTGTTTTTTTTTTTTGCTGACATTCTTTATTCTGTGAGGTCTGCAGATAATTGTGGGGTGTGTGTGGAAAAACGTAACCTTTGGTTCTGGGTCCATTATTAGAACACAAACTGTTTCACTGGAATCCCCTTCTGATCTTTTCCTTTGTGTCCGTTTGTTGTATTTTTGTTAGATTTTAAATATTTGTAAGATAACTAATGAGATTTTGTGTTGTTTTTATAGTTTAGGGGTTACTTGAGGTTATTTTTTTGCATTGATATTTAGTCAAATTTTGGCTGATTAATTTGTGTTTGTTTCTTTTCTCTGTGTGTTTCTATTTTTATTTTTCATCCTAAATATTTGCTCCATGTATTTCATTTTTGGCTCAGTATTTTGACTAAATATTTTTTATTATTTTGATTTAGTTTTGTCTTACATTTAACACCTTTAAGCCATTTCTGCTCATTTGTAGCTTCTTCTCCCTTATTTTTAAGTCTAAATGTATACTTTTTTCCCCCTGTCATTATCACGTTTAAACAAACAGAATTGGTGTCCCGTTCACACCAGCTTACATTTAAAATCCACTAATGGTGATGGTCCCATTGGTCATGTGAACACCACTGTGTCTGTAAAAACAGGAAACAGCTGAAACAACATCCTGTCTGATGTCGAGGGCAACACTAGAGCTTTGTTTGTTACACACTGCACAGTTTTGTGTGTATGCATGTTTATGAGTGTGAGTGTGTGTAAAACTATGACTGTTAAATCCCAGTTCAGGTAAAGATCCCTGACTTTGTTTTTATAGGTGATGTAATTTAACCTGGGCTCAGATTATAGTCTGGATTACTGCTCCCTCTGCTCTGCTCTTTTTTTTTTTTCTCCTCCTGTGTGATGTTTGTCATGTCATCATGAACATCGTGAACTCACCATGACATCCTCACAGCTGATTGGTTATTTTTGTCTCTTTTCTTCCACAGATGCATTCGTCAACAGTCAGGAGTGGACTCTAAGTAGAACAGTACCAGAACTCAAAGTGGTGAGTTCTTACACTTGTTCATTATTTATTTTATTTTATATTTCTACCTCCTGTTCTGACGGACTGATCGCTGCTGCGTCTCCTCCTGCAGGGCATTGTGGGTAACCTAGCCAGTGGTAAGTCAGCACTGGTGCACAGGTACCTGACAGGAACATACGTCCAGGAGGAGTCTCCGGAAGGTGAGCTCATGGCTCTGCTTAAATGTGTTCCTATTCCTTAGGTTTTAAAATCAATTATCCCAGATTTAAACAATGCAAATATAAAAAAATCTCTAAAAATAAGAGTAAGTAATTAAAGCTAAACAAAAGTCAGTTAGAAATTGAAACTAACAGAAAGAGAGAAATACATTTGAATGAGTATCTGTCCTACTGATGCTGGGTGAGGTCTACTGCAGGTGTCATCTGCCTCACAGTAACAGCAGCTTCAATGTCCGCAAAGGAAGCAGCGTCTGAGCAGCAGTGAGAGTAACACTAGTAACAACAGCAGCAGCAGCAGAAACTGCTGCTCATTTGTGTCTACATCAGCTGCAGTAGCAGGAGCAACAGTAGCTGTGGCAGCAACAGGAATCACACTAGCCACCGTAATAGCAGCAACATTCACAGCAGCAGCAACAGTAACAACAGCCTCCGTTACTGCATTAAATCACTTGTTGTCGTGTAATTTACACTGATTGTGTACACGGAGCTGCCGCTCGGTCCGTGCCGCTCGCTTTTGGTGTGAACGCCTATTAGTGTCTGTAGCAGTTGCAGGAACAGCAGCAGATTCAGGACCAAAATAGTCCTGGTCTGTGGTCTGGCTCTGCCTCCACAGCTCTCAGCATTCCTGGGAAAGTGCAGATTCCCCCTTCTGCGGGAATATTTTTAGATGTAAGGACTTTTTACTTCCTGCACTTTTTTTAAAAATCCACCACAGTTGTTTTTTTTAAAAGAATAAACTGTGGTGTTGAAACCAGCAGCACAGGATCAAGTTTTTATTTCTTAGACCCAGTGTTGAAAAGTGTAGTTTTTTTTTCCATTTTTGTTTTACTGTAGTTATCTTCAGGGTGAACTGTTGGCCAATTGTAATTTTTTGGCTTTGTACATTTTAGAAACACTAGTTAGCTGTTCCAAGTTTTTATTTTTATTTTTTTATCAAACTCAGTTTGTTTTAATTCTTAACTATTTAAATAACCTTAATAACATTTACATAGCTATTTGGACCAATACACACATTATCTGGTCCCCATGACAATACCAAAACTTAACTCTGTATATAAGAAAAAACATTTTCACATGACCTGTTGTTTTTATTAATCGAAGGACAAAAAAAATGCTAAGATGGAGCTGTGAAACAAACAAAAACAACAGTTCCTACTCTTGGAAAATGTATAAATGCATCTAAAACATTGGCTGCATTATCTGTATTGTTGACCACATCAAGTTCAGCTCCCTTAAAGCTTTACAGAATTGTCACATATGGCTATAAATGTTTTTTTGGCATATCACCATCTGGTTTACTTCCTGTAGGTTCACACTCTGACTCTTTAAACTCAGCCCTGACAGAAGAGGCGACTCAAATTCATTGTTTAAAACTTGAATCAAATCTTTGTATGAACAACTGAACACAGAACCAGAGCTAACAAACCAAACGACTCCATCACCAGGCTGAAACTAACAATCTGGACAAATATGTTTCAAAAACGTAGAAGAATTTCTACTGAACAAATTATGTTTTTGGCTCAGCTGTTTGTTTTTTTTTTCTTCTTCTCTCTGTCTAAGACTGCAATGTTGAAATATTAAAGAATCTCAAAGTCCGTGTAAGTGGGTTTGTGCCTGCAGGGGGAGCTGCTGTGTGTGTCTGTGTGCGTGCGCGTAAACTTGTTTAATATTAAATTAGGAGTCTGAGCATCACCGTGGGCTACACATCAAACACTTTCCCTCTGTCAATTTTTTATACTACTTGTCCTTTCACAACACTGTCATGTATGAAGCACTTACAGTGATGTCAGCCAGCGCCCCCTGTATTTCACATACAGAACAGACGACTCAGCTGATGAAATCCAGGTCAGGATGAGTTTGATATCGGGATAAAGGATTTAGATTTAAGCAGCTGAAATGTGTGTGTTTTACCTCCTACTCTCCCTACTTCTCTTTTTCCACATCCATCTTTTCTATCTCTCCCCCTTCTCTGCCTCTCTCCCTCTCCCCCTTTTTAGTCCTTTTCTTTTGTTATGCCTCCTTTTCTTCTTCCTCCAGCTCTTCTTACTCTTCTTTTTTGTTTTCCTTCTCCTCTTTCTCTCATTATATGTGTCATATGCTGCCTCTTCTTTCTTCTTCACCTCCTGCTCCTTCCTCCTCCCCTTTTTTCTTCTCCCTATCTTCATCCTTCTCTAACTCATCCTCCTTTTTCTTTCTCATTTTCTTTCTTTCTTTGTTATGTTTCTCCTCTTTTCTTCCTCCTTCAGCTGCTCCTTCTCTGGCTCCTCCTCCTCCTCCCTGCTTCTGCTCTCCTCAGGTTGTTGTTGTACTTGTGTTGATGTGATGCCTGCACTAACTCCTGCTGCTTCTTTCTTTTCTTTGTTGAATTTTTGTACCTGTTTCTTCTCCTGTTTTAAATCCAGCTGACGTGGATGCAGGTAAAGATCATCTCTCTGTTCTTCATCTCCTCACCTGTTCCTCACCTGTCCATCATCTCTACACCTTCTGGCCACCATCTCTCTATCATCTGTCCGTTATCTCCACCATTAACCCTCTAACATTTGTCCATCATCAGTCAATCATCTCTCATATCTCCATCATATGTTTATATCCCAATAATCATTTCATTCCTCCATCTTTTCTTCAACTTCCCTTAATCATCTGTCCATCATCTCTTCATCGTCCAATTCTCCATTCTCCCTCCGTTATCCCTTGAAGGTCAGTCATCATCTCTCCATCATCCTTCTTTTAACTCCCCGTCACCTTTCCATCATCCCTCCATCATCCATCAATCATCCTTCAATCATCCATCAATCATCCATCAATCATCCATCAATCATCCATCAATCATGCCTAACATCTCTCCATCATCACGTCATCATCTGTCATCCTTCCATCATATCAGAGCTACTTTGTCAAATTACTGGACACTGTGAGCATTTCTGAGCTTACGTGTTATTTATTTTAACTTCAAGCATTTTCTCATTCAGTTGTGGTTGGGTGCGTGTGTGTGTGTGTGTGTGTGTGTGTGATTCATTTGACTGAAACATTAGCATCATCTCCTTTCATCCCGTTACTTCTTATAAACATTTAGATGTAGAGGCATTTTGTTTACGTTCAACGATCATTAACTGAGACTAAGATTTTCTGATCCCAGTCTTGTCATGTAGAGGTCAGTGTTTCTCACCAAACCATCTAGATTCATCAGTCAGATCATCTACGTTGAGTAGATCCTTCAGATCAACATTAACCTGTAATGCTTGATTATCTGTTTATCTATTTGTTGTTTCCCCAGGAGGTCGTTTTAAGAAGGAGATTGTGGTGGACGGTCAAAGTCATCTGCTGCTCATCAGAGATGAAGGAGGCCCCCCAGAGGCTCAAGTAAGTACTGCACTTGGTATTTCAAACCTGGTGATTTCAACCATTGGTATTTAATCTAGTAGATAGAGTATACATTTGATGTAACTTAAGACACAGGGGAAATAAAGCTTCACATATAACAACTCTTCTAATTTAAATGTGTTATTCTGGTTAAATATTTAGATTCATAGAAAGGTTGTTTTACTCTACAAAACATCATGATGTAAAATTAGCATTCCCTTTATGTTTATCGGACAAAGAACATACTTTGACTTTATTTCACTGAAGAACTCTTCATAAAACCTTGGTCGTTTAAGCAGCTGAACTGTTTACTATTTGTTTATAAAAGAAGCATCAACCAACGGTGTGTTTAAAAACACTTACTAAAACACGTTTTTTTACACCACTCGTTAGAACGAGAAGTCCATATAGAAAATTGTTTTAGTAGATAACGTCCTTCTGTCAGCTTTTAACCATTGTTGTGTTTGTGTGTGGTTTTAGTTTGCCCTGTGGGTGGACGCTGTCATCTTTGTCTTCAGTCTGGAGGATGAGATTAGTTTCCAGACGGTTTATCACTACTTCAGCCGCTTGGCCAACTTCAGGAACACAGCAGAGCTTCCTCTGGTGCTGGTGGGGACACAAGGTAGACCAGAGGTCCACACATAGAGATGCACACACACACACACTGTGTACATTAAAAACCAGGGAGATAAAAAAATGGATAACATTTATTAAAAATTCAAAAAAAGGTTTTATTGACATTAGACATCTGGGTCACATACTAAAGACAAACTAAACGGTTGCTGCCATCTAGTGGTGCTTTGCTGTTATTGTTCTTTCTCCTGAGCCTACGTCCTCTTTCAGACTTTTTGTCTTTTTTTTTCTTGTTAAGTCCTAAAATGAACACTTTGAGCTGCAGCATCGTATCTTTTCTCAATCCTGACTTTTCTATTCTGGTGTTTTTGAAGCTGTAGAGCCCAAGAGTTGACCTTAATTCATATTTAAAGATACAGAGAAAACAAAGCTGAAATGGTCATAAGTATAAGATTTGAAATCACATGATTTAGTTTCATGTCCTGGAAAAAGAGAAAGGATAAACTCAACACAATCTTGCTCTCGGCTGTGATCCTCTGTGCTTAGTAAATTCACATCTGGCTTTGACAGTGACCAGCAGGTGGAGTCAGAGTATCACAGTCCCCTTAATCCTGGCTCTGCAATTCCACTGCGTTTTTGTCCATCTAACACTCGCACCAACTGAGCTTATTATCTGTTTCTCCCTCAGACGCCATCAGCTCTGCAAATCCACGTGTCATTGACGACTGCAGAGCCCGAAAACTTTCCAACGACCTTAAACGCTGCACCTACTACGAGACCTGCGCAACCTACGGACTCAACGTGGAAAGAGTTTTTCAGGATGGTAAGAACTAAAGCGGGACCTCAGGGTTGGTCTGGTACAGTCAGTCAGGGAGGTGACGTTCAAAAATGTCACATTGTATTTATATTAGCTGAAGTGTTTTATCAATGACCGATATGTTGAGATAAAGACAAGGATTGACCTGGGACAGATTGTCATGCGAACTAACCTCACAATTTTTTTTGATTGATTTTCATTTTTGTATTTGTGTGAGATTTTTTTTTTTTCAAATTACGCCTGATAAAACATGCCCTCTATATCCAGCAGGAGGCAGCAGAGTGTCATACACGCATGATAGACGGTCTAGGTCTGGGTCAACTTGGAAACAACAACACCAAAAAAATGTGTTTTAACCCTAACGATAAAAAACGATTTTATCCACATCACAATTTTGGAGTGTGTTCGGTTGGAAGACAACATTCAATAATCTACTAAAACATTGACCTTTCACCTTATTAGTTATTTACTGATCAATGCATTGATCCATGACTTCAGAAAATGATGATTAATGTTCAGAGACATGTCACATTAGAGCTCAGTGATCAGTCAGTCGATTCACCACGATACCCATTCCTGCAGATTAAAAAAAAAATACTTCCACTGGATTTCCAAAATCAATTCCCCATAAAACATCATCCCAGGAACATTAGAACATAATCCCAGCAATATTCCATCTGTGTTCAGACGTCATGACTTCATCTTACCAACATCATTACACTGTTATCAGAACATTAACCTTGTATTGTTTCACTATCATGTCAGTCATTTCACTAAATGACTGACATCATTCCAACATCACATAGATCAGAACAATAACAAAAACATGACTAAATGTGATTATAAATGTCTTTTTCTGTCATGTTTATTTGTGTGTGTGTGTGTGTGTGTGTGTTTAAGACATGTTTTCCTCAGTAATTTGAAGTGAATCCTGGTCCACTCGGTGCACTGACCTCTGTATAAGGGATTATGGCTGAGGGGGAGGGTGACAGCGTCGTGCTCTCCCTCGTCCATCAGCGCTCTAATTTAATTATCCTAATTACACTGACATACACTCTCTCTCTGTCTCTCTCTCTCTCTCAAACCTTCGTCTGCTTCATTTTTTCTAATCTGTGTTGCAGCGCTTCGTTAGCGTTTGCTAACGAGCCAAGGCGACCTTCGCTCTGACTCACAGACACACAAAAAACACACAAACACACACACTCTGCACCGAATCTATAGAAAAACAGAGGTCCAAGGTGGAAATGTGTGATTTTAGCTTAGAGCAACACAAGGCAGTTGTTTATCAAATGCTACATTTTTTTAGACTTCAATCACAGATACAATCTGACCACAAGAGGCTGTGGTGGACCAGCAACTCTGTAAATAATTTTTCTTCAAACTTTGATGTGAGAGTTAATGGTTTACAAACTTAAGCTTCAGTCTGACAGTTAGATAAAGACGTGAACAGATTTTGAAGTCACGATAGATTTAGATTCAGTCCTGAGTGTGAAGCCTTTGACAGCTGCAGCCTCGTCCTCACCTCTGTGTCTCTTATTCGTCTTTACGTCTAAATCCTCGGCTGCAGCTCTGCTCATAAATCTGAGGTTTCCATTATCTGGATGTGGCAGCTTCTCACAGCAGAGCGGAGATTGATGGACAAAGTTAAACAGCATTAACTGTGCAGTTTAAACATTTAGCACAGCCTTATCATAACTGTTCCTAACAGTTAAGGTAAAATACAACCTGCCAGGTGCTGCTGCCGTGGTCTGTCCATTGACCTGAACCTCACAGGTGTAGGGGTTAGTGTTCGATCCCAGAATGAAGGAGTTAAGAATTTAGTGACTCCATTATTTCCATACCGATAAACAGGGTTCCACTTACATGGAGGGAACCATTGTTTTAATTGACCTCGTTAAAAAGCGCCGGCTCTGTTAATGAGGAGCCGCAGTGTCATAAACATTTAACTCCAAGCCAAGGGCAGCGGCGAAGAAAGAGACGGAGGGACAGGAAGTACTGTTTTTAAAGCAACAGAAGAAAAACTGAACTTAAAAAAAATTAAATTCCAACGCTACAGTATCACTCCTTTTCCTGGATTGTGTCACGAAAAACTGAAAAAGACCAACACTACTTCCCTCTGTCTGTTCTAATTTACAGAATAAATGAAATTCCTCATTTTTTCAATTTGATTTGGGTAACATGATTAAGTTAAATACCTAAAATTGAAATAGATTAAAATGATAAGAAGCTGATGACATTTAAAAACAATGCCCAGAATTGCTCAATTAAGTTTTCGATAAGTTTGCAAATTTGCCAAAAGCAATGAAAAACATAGTACAGTTGCTTAAAGTTAGCAAGATGATAACATTATTTGACCTTAAAATGTAAAAGTGAAACAAAAGAAAATCTGAAAACGTCCTCAGAAATGATCATTAAACATCAACAAAAATATTTTAGAAGTAAAAGAAAAAAATAAAAATGTGCCTTTACATAGCCTACAAATACAAATACATGTGTTAGGAGTCATTAGCTTTAGTTTTTCTACAGATGCTGAGATTTAAATTCGTCCGACAGGAGACAGAAAATCACACTGACTTCAGCCTCTGGGCTTCATCATTTTTGCTGTGCACGCTCACACGTGCATGCTGCTGCCCCCTGATGCAGCCATTATTCTCCCATCATCATTAGGCTGCAGACAAAGATCAGTCCTGTCAATCAATGGCCCCGCCCACCAGCCTTTACCAGCAGCCAATCATCAGCTCAGAGCTCGACTCAAACGATCCATCTTCTTCTTGCTGCAGAATGGAGAAAAAATTAAACAAAGGCGAAATATAATAAAAAAAGTTCAGGAAGTGGTTTTGTGATTTTTACTGCTGTGGTTTTCACTGCAGTAAGAGAAAAAAATACTAATGCAAATAAAAAATCCACTGTAGCCACTTCACAAAGCCAATCTGCGTCTTTGATAGAAGCTCGGAATTCATGGATCATGAAAAGCAGTTTTTCTTTTATATATTATTCTATAATATGTTAGAGAAATTTGGCCAAAAAAAAATTGTCATAGTAATTTATCAACATTATAAAAAAAATGTTAAAGTTAAGTTAAATTAGCGATTAGCAGTTTTTCCTAAACATTTCTGACTTTTTTTTTTTTTTGGCAAATGTAGGATTTTTCCTCAATGATTCAAAATGTAAACTTAAAACAAATGATAAATTGTGGATTCATTCATTATTTTACACAGTTTTACCTGTAATAATTCTAGAAATATTATTAACAGCTGTTGGTTTTATTTTTTTATTTTTTTTCAGTTGCTCAGAAGATCGTAGGCAGCAGGAAGAAGCAGCAGTTGTCCATCGGTCCCTGCAAGTCCCTGCCCAACTCACCGAGTCACTCGTCTGTCTGTGCGACACAGGTGGCTGCTGTTCACATCAGTCAGGTCAGTGCTGAAACACACAGGTGAACACTCTTTTATCCAGTCATTCCTAATTAATTGTTGACACTGTTTTTAATCAAGTCCGACAGAGGAAACCACTTTAGGTTCTGACTGGACCTAAACTCTGGTCTGCTCCACGACAGTGTGTACTCGTCTGCTTTGGTCTGTGGTACCGCGGTAACTCTCGGGTGTTTGATGGCCGTGTAGTTAGTGTCTCATTAGCTCCTCCCGATAGTTGGATCGGAGATTATTGAGGGTTCATCTGATGATGATGAGGAGGAGGAGGAGGAGCAGGAAGATGAAGTGGGTATGAGTGAGGAGACGCAGCAGCTGCAGCAGCAGAGCTGATCAAACACAAACTATGACTTTTTAATGAAGAATCAATGGAGGACTGAAGAATGAAGATCTGCCCTGTGTGTGTGTGTGTGTGTGTGTGTGTGTGGTTTTGGTGCGTGTGTGTTGGCAGGACACTAATCGTTACATTTACAAAATGGAAGTCTACTTTTTGTCTGTCTTCCCATATTCAAAACCAGATCCAGTTCAGACCTGAAAGATCTGGTCAGAGGCAGAACCAGATCCCACTTTTTAAAAATTCAGAATAAAGTCAGGATCTGAATTTTAATTTTTGTTTGTTATTGTTATCTGTAAATGTTTTCTGTCATTTCTGTTGTAAACATATTTATAAAATATTAATAATTTGGAGTGCTATCTTTATTTCTTCTTGCATCATGGCTATTTTTTTCTTGATAATTAAACTCTTCTTTGTATTTTGTTGGCCAACTGTTAGCACTTTATGTGAACATTTACATTACATTACTTTTCTACCTTTTTTATCCGTGCCATGCTTGAGCTGAATTTCTTGAATAATTCCTTGTGACATCAATAAGTGCTCAAATCTTACCCTGGGACTGTTTCTGGTATCTTTGCCTGTTCAGACCACAAACGGCGGCAGTTTGAGCGACTACTCATCGTCAGTTCCGTCCACACCAAGCACCAGTCAGAAGGAGCTGCGCATCGACGTTCCTCAGTCCACCAACACTCCGACTCCAGTCAGGAAACAGTCCAAACGACGCTCCAACCTCTTCACTGTAAGTCTGTTACCGAAGAAGGAATCACTCAGACTAATCTGGATCCTTAACCTCTGACTGACATCAGTTATTGTTTCTGATGTGTTATTACTGACACATCAGTTTATCCATGGACAAGTATATGGACTATAAGATTGATTCTTATTCTAATGATGCTGCTATCTTTATGGGCTTTTCATGTGTTTTGTTTTGTTTTGATCCAGATCCCAGTCCTTGAACTGGATCTGATTCAGAAACCAAATCTAAATGTTTGTTTCTGATTCAAGTTTGGATTCTTCTTCTTATTCTTATTCTTCTTCTTCTTCCCTTTTGTCTGTCCCTACAGTCTAGAAAAGCCAGTGAACCTGACAAAGATAAGAAAGGTCTGGAAAGCCGGGCAGACAGTATCGGCAGTGGACGGGCCATACCCATCAAACAGGTGAGACAGTCACTTCCTGTCTGTCCTAAATATGCCCCGTCCCATCAATCGGATGAGACCAGTCCTTACAGACTGCTGTTTGTAACGGATGCCTTAAGTAGAAATGATCAGACACAGGAAACGTCTCCACTCCTCATGTTTGAAGTAGATCCTCTGGACGACACGGTCTGGACACCGTGTGGACTGTAGACCGCAGCCCACTCCCTGGGGCAGGGGTTATTGTTCTTAGGGCATTTCTTTCCATAAATATGTCTGTTGTTCTTTGGAAAAATTTGACATCATTTTGACTTTGAGTTTTCTTCATCCTATCATCTATGGACTATAAGATTGTGTGATAACCTGGTGTGGTCCATTCAGACGGTTTTTGAATTATACTTGTGTCCTAACTTTCAGTTGATCATCATTTGGTAATTTATTTGATCTGCCTATTATTTTATTAATGTGTAAATTAGAGCGATTTCTAAGATATTCTTTGGGGAGGCTGGTGGGGGTGTCGACCACTATTCATATATTTATTTATTTTTTTGTTAAATGAGAAACACTTACATTTGAATAGTTTGGACTCCAAAGTCCCAGATTTGGTCTGTGGATATTGGTCTGTGAGCTAAAATGGCCGATTTTCTCTCTGGACTTTGGTGTGAAATTGCGAGAGGTTTATAAACTTGAGCTTTTCCTCTAACAAGTCAATTACTCTAAACCTGTAGCTCACACTGTGAACAAACACACACACGACACACACACACAGAGGCACGCACCGCTCCTGTGTGTGTGTGTGTGTGTGTGTGACTGTGTCGTCCTGAGCGTAAGATCATTAGATCACCCTCTCTCTCTGTGTGTGTGTGTGTGTAAGAAACGTGTCACAATGTAAGTGAGAACACGCCTAGTCCTCATTAGGAGCCGACAGACTCACAGACACGACCTGTGTTTTAATGAGCCTTTCTCCTTTTAACACACACACACACACACTCACACGCACACACAAAGAGCTGAAGCAGCGTCACCTCCGCAGGCCGAGAGCGGAACTAATGAGGTCAGGAACTGAGACGAGGAGAGAACAAGAGGCTGAGACACTCAGGGATGAAGGAGAACAAGAGCAGGAGGTGGAGGAAGAGGGAGAATAAGAAGGAGGAGGAGGAGGAGGAAGAGGAGGTGGAGGATTCAAGTTTAGATATGGAACCTGGGAAATGTCCCGATATACGCTAAACAAAATCCTGTCGTTTTATTAGAAACTCTAATCTCCGTCAGATGTAAAGACTGAGGACTTTCAGTGTGACCTTTGGTTGATGCTCTTTTTCTACCATCACTGATGACAGTGTTGGTCCACTGTGGTGTGCTGCTCTGTCTCTGTGGTTTAACAGACGTCTGTGACTGGTCAGTCTGATCAACACGGTGACAACATGAACAATGATCAACACGGTGACAACATGAACAATGATCAACAGAAATAGTTATAAGAATACTAGTTATTACAGTAATTGTTGTGTGTTGTCAGTGAGTGTGCAGCAGGAAACAGAGACGCAGCGGCGTCTCATTAAAAACAAGTGTGAGGTCTGTGTTAATGGGAGGAAACAGACACACACACACACACACACACACAGAGAGAGAGAGAGAGAGAGTAGCACGGAGTGTAAATGGAAGGTTAATGCGTGAAAAGGATCTGAACCTTAAATGTGAAGTGTAACTTCTCCTTTTGCAACAAGCTTACACACACACACACACACACACACACACTGTCTAATTAGGGAGCAGGTCAGCGTGTGTGTGTGTGTGTGTGTGTGTGTGGGCCCACATCAGGACAGTAGACAGAGTGTGTAAAGCTGAACCACAGGGAATCATCAAATCAATTAACATCCACTTCCAAAAAATACAACAGGGGGAGGTGGAACCCCACGGAACAGCTTTAATCGTCTGAATGTGTGTGTGTGCGTGCGCGTGTCTGTCCGTGTGTGTCTGCTTTCATTAGCGTTAATGTGATCAGCAGGGACTTGTCTTTAACACGTTTTAAATGATTTGAGCAGAACATAATCACCTCAAGCAAACCCTTCTGAGATTCATGGTGTTCATGTTTTATGACTGTAGTCTGACTGACGTGCTCCGTGCTCCTCGTCATGTCTTTATCTCATTATTAGACTTTAACAACACCGCCAACTCCTGTGTCCCCGTCTACTAACCCCTCATTGTCTCCCCCTGGACCTCGGTGTCTCCGTGGTCAGGGACAGCATCGTACCTCATTCATTTAATGTCGTTTTGTTATCACTGGATTCTCTATTTTAATTTTCTGATTATGGAGAATCGGTTATTTAAACTGAACCTTTGTTCATCTTTTCTCTCTGCCTCTAATTTCCTCTCTTTTTTCTAATATACCACTTTCTATTTCACAGTTTTTTGGGGGTTTTTTTTGGGGGGGGTTTTTTATTTTACTTTTCCTCCACTTCTCCTTCTGTGTCTTCTTCTGGTCACTCCAGTTTCCTCTTCATCCTTTTTCCTACTTATCCTGTGTATAAGCCTTCTTCCCTCACCTCCTCCTCCTCCTCCTCCTTCTCCTTCCTCACCTCCTGCTCTTTTCTTCATACCAGGAACAGTGTTAACAATGTAAGTAAAACCCCCCTGACTGGAGGTCTCGTGTTAGCCACGTCGGTGGTGTGCTAGTTAAATTGCTCGGTTAATTCCGGCCGTTATTTACCCTGTAATTCATTAGTGCGGCTGCTCCTCACTGGCACAGATCAGGCTGTAATTTCACGCTCGGCAATAAAAGATGTCTCATAATCTGCTTCATTTAGCAGCAGCCAGAGACTTTAATGAAATTAACCACGGCCCCTAATTAAGAGGGTGAATATTAACGAGCGCCTCCATCAGCCATTAACGACGTCCACCGTCAGTCCTTCAGCCGCACAGGAAAAAATCATTTTCCTGGAAAAAAAGGATTTTAGTGCTTCGAGCCATTTGACGCACAAAGCGTGTGCACGTGTGTGTGTGCACGTGTGTGTGTGTGTTTTGGGGGTATCTGTCCTCATATGAAATTATATCTGAAGTTTTTTATCAAGGCTGAACTGCGGCGTATTGAAATAATCTTGGCTGGTGTTTAACATTATGGCTCTCTGTTTTCACATTTTAGCTTTAACTTTTAGCTTTATACCAGATGAGTTTTCTGTTCATTTTACCCCCTCTATTGGTCAGTCTATGGAAGGATCCATTTTAGAGACAGTTTCTTTGGCCAGTTTTGATTTTGTATTATAAATGTTTTGTTAGCCAGTTATCTTCTGATATGTTAAGGGTTGTTTTTTCTCTAAAGGTTTAGTCTTAAAGTGATCTTTTTTGTTTTCTTTGTTTCTTTTTTTTCCATTCTGTTGTGTCCTGAATGGTCAATTTAAGTCCAATGACCCTTAAGACTTGTGTTTGCTCTTTATTGTTTATACATTTATAAAATAAATAATGCAGCGCTCTCTTGCGCACACACACACACACACACACACGCACTGTGCTGTTGATGAGCCTCGTGGCTTCAGTCCCTGGTGTTTTTGTTTGTTCAACACACATCTGTGTGTGTTTGTCGTAAATAGATCAGACAACGGTGTCTCCTTTTCTTCACTTCCTGTTTGTGTCTGTGGGCACGCACGGCTCTGTGTGTGTCTGTCTGTGTGTGTGTGTGAGTGACTCAGTTGAGGGAGACAAAGGCGTTTTCTTCACTAATGAATTGAGACTGCTGAAGTCAGGTTTGGATAATTGAGTTTCTAATTAATTACCCAGAACTCTCATCAGATAAATCAGCTCCTCTTCACTCTCCTTCTTCTCTTCCTCCTCCTCTTCTTCCTCCAGCTCCTCTTCTTCCTCCAGCTCCTCTTCTTTCTCCTCCTCTTTCTCGTAGCTGTTGTGTTTTATCTGAGCCTCCTTCTCCCCTGGAGCCTAATGTCCTCCTCCTGTCCCCTCATCAACACTGACCTTGGTCTGAAACTGATCTCTGTCCTTTTCCTGGTTTTTACTCTTTGTCTGACATAATTATATTAATCACGTCATTGTTACATGAAAAATGTATATTCTTCCTGAAAATGTAATGTTAGGTAAAAACAAAGTTGGAAGGTAGAAAAAAGATTTTAAAAAATCGAAGTGGGAAATAGATTAGAGTTGAACTGAAACAGCGAAAGGTTGTCACAGAAAAAGATGTAAAAGCATAGTTAAAACTGCCCGTTAGCACAGAAATGGCTCAAAGTTAGTGCAGTATCCACAAGTTAAAAAAAGTTTTTCGAATAAAAAAGACAACACAGATAATTAGATGAAAGTACTGTTGAAACAGCTGAAAAGGCTAAAAGTTAGCACAGGGTTCTGTATTAACAGGTTAGAACAGAAATGTTTTTGATCGTCCCTCATCTCAGTCTTTCTGCACTTCCTGTCTCCTTCACCTTGCTTCCTTTCTCCTTTATATATTTCCTTACGTCACCACTTTTCTTCTTTTTCTCTTTTTGTTTTGTATTTCTTTGCTTTACACCTCTTCCTTTGTACATTTCTTCCTTTCTTTGGGTCACTGTTTTCTTACATTCCCCCACTTCTTCCTTTCCTTCTCCCTTTGCTTCATTCAAGTTGTCCTTGCCTTGTTTTCTTGCCTCCTTGTTCATTTGTTCAACCTTTTATCCCACATTTATTTCCTCGTGTTCTCCTCTCTTTTCATCCTTCCCTTCATCCATATCTCTCTGTCTTAGCCTCTTCTACTTTCCTTCCACCTTGTCGTGTGTTTGTTCAGTTTCCTCTGGTCCAGAGTTAGATCAGCTCTCAGATCCTCTGTCAGAGAAGATGATGGATGACCCTGTTGTCTCCACCCAGCAGAAGGTGACACCTCTGATTGAACTTACTCCTCTTCTCTGAGGAACAAAAGCTCACATCTGTCCTCCTCCTTTTCCTCCTCTCCTTCTTCCTCTTCCTACTCAGGACCTTCATCAGGACCATCAGAGTCCTTTGTCTGAGAGAATGCAGGTCCTGATGGACTGATGGAGGAGATTAGAGCAGGAGGAGAGAAGATTCTTCTTATCGGATTTTCTCTCTCTCTCTCTTTACGCAGACTTAAGAAGAAAAGCTGTTGTTTTTTTTCACCGCTTCTGTTCTGCTGATTATTATTTCATTTTTACAAAAACTAAAATAGATGTTTGTCATTTGAGAGAAATGATCTTCAGTCTTTAGTTATTGACTTTCTCTCTTTTCTTTTTTGTCTTTCACTTCTCCTCTAATCTTTCCAATGTCAATCCTTACTGTCCTGTGTTTTTCCCTTATGTACTTTTTTCTCCCTTTCACTCGGCTCTTTCAACCATCTTTCTTTTTCCTTCATCTACACTCACCTTTTCCTCTTTCTTCTAAGTCTTTCCTATTTTGCTTCTTGCTTTCTTTTAACATCCATAGACTTACAGTTCTACTCACTTTAAATCTGTCTTCCCTCATCCTACCATATCGTTCGTTCTGTACATGTCTCTTACATCCTCCTCCCTTTCCCCTCCCTCCTTCCTCCCCGGCTCCTCTTGAACCACCTTTTAACTCTTCTTCATATCTCTTTAGTTAGAAGATCAGTGATGATCACTGATGCCCTCAGACCTTTTCTAACAGATGACTCTTCAGCATCAGTCGACCTTTTCTTTAACACATGGTCACCATACTTCATGAGGTGAGGTGGAGCAGAAGCAGCTGCTGCTGCAGCAGACGTGATCCTCAGAGAGTATTTATTCACACATCTATTTTCTCTGCTGGAGACCTTGTGAGCTGTCATGACTGACACCATCAGCACCCCCCCACGACCCCACCTCCTGAAGGTAAAAGGAGCAGGCGAGGTGTGTGTGTGTGTGTGTGTCCAGCGGTGAATAATGACAGATATTAACCATCAGCAGAGCTTCATGCTCACAGTCTTGAAGCAGTCTTTAAACTGATGACTGATGTCACACTAAGGATAAATGAGTTCAATAAATCCAATGACGTCTCTCTGAGCAAAGATTTCACACTTAAAGACAGAAAAAAAAGAAGAAAAAATCCGTTAATCTCCCTGGTTTTACCTCAGGAAACGCATTGATGAAGATTAGACTCGGGTCTTATTCACTTTAAAATTTACTACAGTTAAACCTCCTTTACAGAAGCTTCTTCTAAGTTTCTTTTTTTTCTTTTTTAAATGATGAACACTGAACTTCCAAGATGCATAAAAGAAGCATCCACAAAGATAGACCTGGAACAGTCTACAGATGCTGTCTCTTCTAAGTTTCTTTTTTTTCTTTTTTAAATGATGAACACTGAACTTTCAAGATGCATAAAAGAAGCATCCACAAAGATAGACCTGGAAGAGTCTACAGATGCTGTCGTTTAAATGTCCTGTAACTCTTTCTCTGTGTTGGATGTCGGTTCAGTCCCACTGTAGTGGAAAAAACTCAGATCTGATCTGACAGGCAGGAGCAGTACTAGAAGTACTGTTATTACCAAGAACAGGCGTACACTGTTCCACACTCATATAACAGTTATGTAAGTAACAGTAACAGCCGTTAAAGTAGGGACCGTGGCAGCTGTAACAGGATCAATTGTAACAGAATAAATGAAAGGAAACGCTAAAACAGTAAAGGGAGTGACAGTAACAGCTGTGACGGCACAACAGTAAAAGTTAAAACAGTAATATGAGTAGCAGTAACAGTAGAGGTTGTAATAGTTCCACTAGTAACAGTCATATATATACAGCTAACAGTAACAGTCACTACAGTTAAAGCAGTAACAAACAATACTGGAGGTAACAGTTCTAACAGTATTTCTGGTCACCAGTTAAAGAACAATGGTGTTAATGTTACAGAAAAGGTTCTACTGATGTTTTGTTATTTAAACATTGATCAAGAAAGAACATAAAAATGGCTGTGTTTCACAGCATACCATGTGGATTCCAACCCAGTCCAACCCTTTCATGCATAACGGTCACTACAGTGGACAGATATTAAAATGTAATTTTCTATGATAAGAATAGGTTTTGATGGCAGTGTTGCATATAAGCCTCTACAGTGGACGCCTGAGAATCACCCAACACGCCCATACAGTGGTCAGCCTTTGCAACTGCAGAATAATTGTGTCAACATTCAAAAAGAAAATTTGGTGTATAAAAACAGAACCAAATCAGTTCTTATTTTTATGTCTAAAAACACTTAGTAACATTTTTTTAACTTAGTATATCATGGGTCATGCATCAAAGGGTTAAAACTGTCTAGTCAACAGTCCAAGCTTTAAAACAGTCGACCCTTCAACATAGTTTTGATAGATTTTTGGTCAATTTTTTCCAGGATTTATTTTTAAGGTTCTAGATCAGTCCTGAGAGACCAATCTGAATGATGTCCTTACATGAACCATCAGCGTATTCAGAAACAGTTGTCAACAGTTGTACCTTTTTGAATTCTTTTGACTGGTAAACATGTGGACCTTGATCAGGAAGGTCAAAAGAGTGGCTTTCATAAAAGGTTTATCCTCAGAAACTTCTGCAGATAAATCTTCTGGGCCATTTTTATGTTACATGGGGAAAAAATGCAGCTTTTTTTTGTGTGTGTGTGTTGTTTACTGTCACTCCCTCTGCACCCTCTCCTGGCCTTATATCACTGTTACCTCCACCTGCTGATGTGAAGTCACATAAGTCCTGATGTCACTGTGATCACTGTCAGCACAATACGCAGGCCTCAGTGATGATGATGAAGATGAAGACGACGATGATGTTGATGTTCGCCTCACACTGAGCTCCACCCAGCTACACCTCGGTCTCAGGCTGTTCACATCCATTCATTATTAGGGTGGTGGTCGTGGTGGTCTCTGTGTTAATGTCACTCCAGTCCAATGACAGTGACACGTGTATCCTCCAACCTCTGAACAACAACTCCTGCCATCTCTCCCCCTCTCTCCCCTCTCCCTCTCCCTCCTTCTCCCTGTCCCACTCCATCACCTTTCCCTTTTTCTTTCTCTCCCCCCTCTCTCTGTCTCTCTCTCTTTCTAATGAATCCAGTTTAAAAGAAGTGTGGGCGTGCAAGCCGCCACTCGTCCTTAACGCTCACTCATAAAAACTGATGTGACAGAGACAGGAAGAGAGAGAGAGAGAGAGAGAATGAATGAATGAAATAAATAAGTGGTTATTTCCTGCAGATAAGTGTGTGTTGTAATGTGCCTTCAATCCTGTCCTTCAGTGCTTTCTGATGCCATTGTCTCCTGTCTGATGAAGCTCAATGATCTAAGAACAGAATCAATGGACATTCAAAAACACACGCAGTTCTTGGTCAACACACTCGTGTCAGGTGTCACGATTGTAGAACAGTTGAACCATCATTTTCAAATTGAAAACAAAATAAATCTGAAATTCCCAGCAGTGCAGATTTCTATAGTTTTGTTTTTACCAAGATCTTTTAGTCCCATCTTTATGATATAAAAACAGTTCTATCGAGCTCCTGGTGTCCTGCTAGAAACCTCCCTACAGTACAACCACACGGCCAAGTATCATGATCCTGATCTAACCAATCATGTCAGTGCAGTTATGTGCAGCGAGCTCCACCCCCTCAGTTTCCCTGCTCCTTAATGGTCCTAATTCTGGAACTGTTTTTATGGACTGTAAAAAAGTTCTTATACCTGAAGTGTCCTAGCTGTTATTGTTCCTTCTCGTCCAGGTATTTTCCATAGATTCTGATACTTCCTACAGATTTTTGTAGCCTATAGAGTTTGTGATACTTTTTTCAGTTTCTGACACTGAGAATTATCAAGTAACATTTGTGAACTTGTCCTTTTTTCAGGGGATGTTGCTAAAGAGAAGCGGGAAATCCCTCAACAAGGAGTGGAAGAAGAAATATGTGACACTGTGTGACAACGGACTATTGACCTACCATCCCAGTTTGCACGTAAGACACACACACACACACACACACACACACAGATTAATGAAGGTAATTGTCATAATGATGATGATAACAGTAATTACACTAACAGTAATAGCAATAATACTACAATATTACCACTAATAAAATCATTAAATATATGTTCATATTTCGTTTGGTACAAAATGTAATTTTTTTTAACAACTCATTTTAAACAAAGGTCTCTAAATTTTCGTAACAAAATTAAATCAAACAGTTAATTGTTTTTTCTTAAATAAATAAATGAAAGTGAAACTCTTTCTCCTGAGGGTTTGTTTCAGCTGCAGAAACAGATTCTCAGTGGATTCAGGGTTTGTAGGTCGAGGGTTTGATTCCCTCAGGGTCAGAGCAGCTGATGCAGTAAATTAGTGATAAAAATTCATCAGTGAAAACAAACAGTGGAAAAAAAACTGCCTCCAGGTTTTTGATGTTGTTTAGTTGGAGGAGAACAGAATCAAGTCAATCAGCTGAGATAATGAGTCTCCGTCATGACTTTAATGAAGTGACAGAGAGGAGAGAGGCTTCAGCAGAAGAACACAACAGATTATTTGCTTCAGAACATCTTCAGTTTATATTATTTAAAAGAAAACGTGTGTTTTCAGTGTCAAACATTAATCTACGAGTTAATCATGGAATGAAGGACAAATTAACTTGACTGTTTAATTTAAATTGTGCTCAAATCCACACTAAAAAACGAAGACTGAATAAAACAGTTCACTTTATTATTTATTTGTTTGTAGAAATAATTGACTAAATATAAACTGATGGAAAAGAAAAGATCTGAATCATTTGGACACAAATCAGTTGATATATATATATATATTTTTTTTTATCATTGACTCGAGGCTCTTCACCTGAAACTGAGTCGTTAAATCATCCGTCACGGGACTTCACCCCGTCTACTACGTCTTCTTCTTCATTTCAAACATTTTTCTTCATCTTCCTCACCGTGGTCATCATCTTCATACTTATCTCCTCTTTTTCTCCTCTTCATCCTCGTCTGTGTCCAGACGTTGACACTCCGTATGGATTCCTGTTTTCCCTGCGTGTCAGCGGATTCAGCTTCCTGTTCATGTCTCATTTTTCACACCATCATTAATGCGTTTACCCCCCTCCCACACACACACACACACACACACACACTTTACCACACACAGAGCAGCTGCTGTTGGTGTGTGTGATGTCGGACAAACTGGTCCTGGAATCATCAGGACCAGGATAAAACGCTGCTCGATGCAAATGGAAACTCAATTACAGTGGTCAATCTGTTGGAGGGCGTGTGTGTTTGCATGCGTGTGCATGTGTGTATGCGTGTGTTTGAGAGAGAGAGAGATCAGACTGGAGGACTCTCCTGTGGCTTGTTAAGACTCTGTTGAGAGCACTTGGCTTTGAATTGGCCTTTTGTCAGCAGAGCTGCCAGAGGGAGGTGGAGTCTGCCTGCGCGCGTGTGTGGGTGTGTGCGTGTATGTGTCTTAGCACCAATTAGAGGTTTTTCCAGCTGTAACAAGTAGAGTTTTAGTCCTGGAGACATGGACATGGATCTTCATGTGTCTTTTCTGCAGCTATGAGAACAATCCACCTGTTCAGGTTCTCTGACCCCGACATCACTGTTGAAACTGATCAAACTTCAACAGATAACACACGGTCGAATATTTCACATCCTCCAAAAAACTGGACTCAAATCAAAGTCCAAATTCTTCTCGCAAAAACTTGACTTTAGTCACATCTGAAAATGTTATTATGTTTTTCATAAACATTTAAGACTGTGTGAAGAAAAATATTTATCTAAAAAAGTAAAATTTCTGTGAAAATAGTCGCTAACTGAAAATCCCTCCGTATTCTTCGCAAAAAAGTTCCAACCATTTGAAAACGTCCAGGATTTTTTTAAAGCACCCAGACTTCAGAAAAACCTGCTGTTTTAATCCGTCCCAGTGGGGGGCGTTGCTTTGTTTCTGCTCTGCTCCTTCATGTTGAAGAGGCCCATGACCTCCCACAATGCATTGCTGCGGTGGAGGTCAGTGCTGACACTCCAGCAGCTTCAGAGGGGAGGAGTCAGCAGGGATTTAACCAGCGCCTCACGATGGTCATTAACAGTCATCGCACAGAGTGAGAGAGAGGTCGCAACAGGGGGTGAGCGGTGAGGGGGCGGAGCCACTTCAGTGATGCTTTGAAGGATTAAGACAGATTTGTTTCCATCTTTTTTATTTTTACATCGGTCCGTTTCTCAGAACACTCCTAAGACTGGAGTCAAAACCAGCAGGAGATCAGGATTTTAAACACTCTGTCTTTGTCCTGATGAAAACCTGTCTTTAACCTAATTCTGAAATGTCTGGCCAGGCTCTCAAAGCTGGTGTATTTTTTTATTTATTTCATATTTCCGACGTGTGTATTGTGTGTCACAGTTTGGACAATTAAGTTGTTTTAAAAAATTAATCCAAAAAAGTGACAAAACATTACCAAGAAGTTATCTATAGTTGGCCAAAAGATAGCACACCTTTGAACAAATGTTAGCAAATGAAATAATGAAAAACTGACAAGCTCAAAGTTAGGCCTGAAAAGACAAATAAAGAGAAATAAAGACAAATGAATCTTAGAAATATCTAATCTCCGAAAACTACGGTATCTCTAAATTTGCAGAAAGTTGAAATGTTAGCTTGATGTTGCACACACAGACATTTTGAACAAAGAGTTTGAGTTAATAGATTGGCCCTAGCAGTCAGCCAATGTGGGATTAGATTTAGATAGATATTACCCCAGTGACGTACTCTGATTGGTAGGTTTTTTGTGTGTGTTTCTTCAGGACTACATGCAGAACGTCCATGGGAAGGAGATCGACCTTCTTAGAACCACAGTGAAAGTTCCAGGGAAACGTCCTCCAAGAGCTGTTTCCACCGGTGCTGCTAATGGACTTACCAAAGACCTGAACCTGCTACAGCTGGGACAGAACCAAGGTTAGTCCAACTATGGCTACCTCCAATATCGCGATATTTTATTATATTTTGATGTATTTATAAATCTGATATATGACGGGACATATTGTTTTTTTACACTCATCGACAACCAATAACATGCAGTCGAGGCAGTCACCTGATCACCGTTGTCTCACTATTTAATGAATGTATGAGACATTTAGCTGTTTTGGCTACATGGTGTTATCACAGGTTGTCAGGAGCCTGTCTTAACCTTTTAGTAATAAACAACAATAACAATATGAAATATATGATATACACACAATATGAGTATAAAAATATTCAGGTATTCGTCTCAATAATGCCTCACATCTGCAGAACCTTAACCTTGTGGTTTTATGTGTTTCAGTCAAACATGATTCAAACAGTGAAAAGATAAAACACACACACACACAGCGTGTGTTAATCAGATGAATTTCCAGTCGGCCGTTACTGCTGCACTAATTACTGTCATGAATATTCATGTCATCTGCACTGGAGACACAGCAGTAGACGAGGGGTCTGAACCAACAGCGGAAGAATCAAAAACAGACAGGATTCAAAAAGAAATGAAACATTGAATATGAACTGAAATACATGGATTAGGATGTTCTCATTAAACATGACACTGATTCTATTCATTATTTAAGCCTTAACTTTAATTAAAGCTGTTGTCTTTTATCTGCTTTATTCTGTGATTAAAGTCACTCTTGTACAATACAAATGTCCATAGAGAAAATCAGAGATTTTTATCTCAGAGAGACAACGTAGCTGTGGTCCTCTGCTGCAGTGGAGGATTATTTGCCCCCTCAGTGATTTCTGTATGTACATTGAAACAACCTTTGTCTCCATCTTCACCTGCAGCAGTGTCCAGCAGCTCATCAGTGTCCCAGATGGCCAGTGGTGTCAGTCTTGTGTCCTTCAACAGTCGTGGTGTTGAAGGGATGCACCAGCGTTCATACTCTGTGTCCAGTGCTGACCAGTGGACCGACGCCACAGTCATCGCAAACTCTGGAGTTGGCACAGGTGAGTGGAAACCACTGTTAAATGGACCATTTAATTAGATTCATGTTGCTATTGCAGACTAGCATTTTCCTGGCTTCTCTTTGAAATGCTAACACTAGCCTTACCGCTTTCCAGTGTTAAGGCTAAGGCAGCTAATGTTGAGCAAACAAAACTTCTCCTTTGGTTCGTTCTAGGCTAAATACTTTTAATTTTCTATTAAGTGGCTAGCGTAGCATGTTACAGAACAAAATAATAACCCTTGGATTATCCACAAAAATTAGGGTTAGCGGTCAGTTATCGTACACATTACAGTTGTTTGCTTACTATTTATTACAGGGAAGTAGTTAACTTTCCCTCAACACTCTTGCTTCCTGGTAACTCCTTCAGGCTAATTCAAACTGTGATGACAGTTAGCGTCATTGATAGTTTACGTTTCTACTCCAGATACAGGTCTTGGGGACTCTCTGTGCTCCAGCCCGAGTATCAGTTCCAGTACCACTAGCCCAAAAATAGAGCCACCTCCATCACCACATGCTAACCGTAAGAAGCACCGCCGCAAGAAGAGCACCAGCAACTTCAAAGCCGACGGATTTTCTGCTACTGCTGAAGGTAAACATTCTCATTTCAGCCTGTCCTGATTGAGGGCTGTGTTTGTTGAAGTGCTAATAGCTGTAGCCTTCTACAGTCCAAACAATTAAAAGTACATGTTTATGCTGCTGACGCAAATGTATTCATGAAATGTATTTTTACAAATATTAGGAACAAAGATAATATCTGCATTTATGAAACAATTCCTCTACGACAAAATACACAGAGACAGACACAGATGTGGTTGAACAGATGTGTTGGTGGAAGCAGCAGCTGTTTAACAGTCCTCTCTTTATCATAGAATCATCAGCAGTTGACAGCACAAATGTGAGAAATCACCACTCTGCTGCTGCTGCTGCTGCTGCTGCTGGTGCTGCTGGTGCTGTGATTGTTGCGATTGTTGCTGCGGTTGTTGCTCTGGTTGTTGCTGCCCTTTTCTGTTTTCAAAGGAATTTGGTTGTTTTGATATTTCTGGGATTTTTCTCTTGTGAGATGCTCCTGTTCTAAGCTTCGCTTACAGTCAGACGCTCCCTCTGAGCTGTGCTCACTATGAGACACTCCCTGCCTTTGTCTGGGCTCCTTCATTCGTCAGCCAGCCTTAAGTGAAATATATTAAATGAACTCTTTTATCAGCTGTGTCACGTTCATCATTCACTAAACGATCAGTTCCAGTCTTTCCCAATTCTCCCATTAAGGAAGTGTGCACTCAAACACAGAGTCATCACCAACGTCTGTGGCCTGTCTGTGGTCTGTGACCGTCTGTGTGCCGTCTGTAGTCGTCTGTCCGCGTAAAAAGCAGCGGCTGTAGTATTTGTGTGTTAGAGAGAAAATCCTGCTGTTGTTCTTGGGAAGAAAGCTGCTCCTCCAGACCGGAGCAGGCTGCTCATGTCTGTGTTGGTGGTTCAGGAATCCCTGGTTCTGGATTTGAGATCTGGATGTCCAGATGTCCAGATGTCCAGATGTCCAGATGTCAGTGAAATGAATCAAGGGAAAATGATGGCTGTTGATGATCTAGACCTAAATGTTCCTGAACAGAGTGGAGGAGATCTGATCACAGGTCAGATTAGAACGCTTCTTTAAGGACCTTCAGAGAAAGAGTCTGGCAGATGACACACACGCACACACACACACACACACACACACACACACACCAAAAAAGTAATGAGTTGCTTTGATTTCTCAACCACTCAACAGTGTGTGTGTGTGTGTGAGTGTGTGTGTGAGTGTGTGTGTATGATTTAAGAGAGTGTGTGCACATGTTCGTTCTCTGACTGCTTCTTTGTGAAGCTAATCAGACTGGTGGCTGTGCCCACCTCCTCAGGTCAGTGAGGGTCATCAGAGGTCACACAGGTGGTACGAGTCTGGGGACTCTTCTCCAGAGTACAGGTGGTCCTGAGAACGGTCCTGAACCACGGTGGTCCTGAGGACGGTCCTGAACCACGGTGGTCCTGAGGACAGTCCTGAACCCAGGTGGTCCTGAGGACAGTCCTGAACCCAGGTGGTCCTGAGGACAGTCCTGAACCACGGTGGTCCTGTTGATCAGATCTGATAAGGAATTAAAAACTTAAAACTCAAAACTCAAATATTAGAATTTAAATTACATAAAATCTGTGAAATATGTATTAAAAATAAACATTTTAGATATTTCAAAACATATTCTTACATTAGACGTATTAAAACATTTATAAAAAATATGATTTAATATTTCACAAACATGATTTCATCTTAAATTGGTTTGTTATGAATACAATTAACTTTATGAATATAAAAAATATATTTTATATGTAATAATATAATATAAAAAATATGAATGTAAAGTTTTTATTTTTAATATATTTTAAACTAAAATGTTTAAGTAAACATTGATGGATTCTATCAATGATGTTATTCTGTGAAAATCCTTATAATTACATCACATTTCTTTTTAATCATTATTGTTTTTATTAATAATAACATGCAACTGTTACTGGTGGAACAGAAGTGTTTTTTTCTCAGCTCTGTTCAGTGATGGAGAACACGCTTTGTAACATTTCAAACCTCAACTTTTCATCTATTGCCCATGTCGCTCACGTCTGCCCGAGGCATCGACTTCAAACACGGTCTCCTGTTTGAGACCCCGTGTCAGAGGTCATAGTCGGAGACTCCTGCTTCAATCCAGCACCCGACAAATTCTGATATAAGCTGTGCCTCACTGTTCACCTTTCCATACCAAACCTTGTAGAGAAAATTAATAATTATAAGTCAGAGGGACAACTCACTGTTGCCTTCATCACTTAGTTCAAATGTGATATTCTGTGACTTCACTAGTTGAAATGATACGTTCATATCAAGCTCTGTGACACAAACTGACCTCAGGAGGCAGCAGTGGACCAGAAACTCCTCGAGCTGAAATCTTTGATTTTCTTATGGACTTTGCTGTGGGATGATTGACAGTTTAAAAGCCCAAATCTTGAATGTCACCATGTGACCTCAGCATCTCGTGCCCCATCTACTTTCTTGTGTGGCGGTAATACCAGAAGACCGCTTCCCTGCTTCAACTGCTTCAACTGCTTCAACTGCTTCAACTGCTTCCCGTATGGTGCAGATGTGTGAATATCTGAGCTGTTTTCTTCTTAAATCATCACCAAACACGTCGGTGCAGCCAAACGTTAGTGTTTTTCTCTCCTGTGATATTTTGCAGGTTATTAATGTTGTAAAAGGCAGAGAATAATGTGAGAAGTAATGACCTGAGTCTCAGAGCAATACTGTGTTCACTGACATTTAAGGCTTTTAATTTGTCTTTCCTGAGGCCACACACACGCACACACACACACGCACAGACACACACAGACACACACACACAGGTGCACACAGACACACACACACACACTCTATTGCACGCAGGCAGCAGGATGAAAGGATTGTATGTAAAAACGCTGCACATTCACTTTGTTGTGTTTGTGCTGTTAAAGGTTGCAGGTGTCAGAGTTCACAAATTGCCTCTTTGCCGTCGTCGCCATCGTCTCTGTTGGTGTGAACGTGGCCACACTGTAGCCTGAAGCTCTGACAGTAATTACCAACATAGTCTATACAGGTGTATTTGGGTCCGTGTGTGTTTGTGATGCGCGTGCATTCATGCACGTGTGCCTGTGTATGTGTCCGTGTGGTAGAGACTGGCATTAACCCGACGTTTTTCTACATAAATAATAAAGGAAGTTAATGATAAGGGCGAGAAAACATCAGTCTTTAGTCAGAAAAATGTTTTAATTCCCAGACAAACATCCAGCTCTATTCTTTGCTCTCCTCTTTCTTCTGGTGCTTCTTTTTGTTCGGCCCTGATTCTGGCTCAAAATTTAAAAATGGGGCCGTAGTTTATTGTCCAGTGAGCTGCTGGGTTTCCCATTTTTGTCAGAATTGCAGAAAACAGCTGTTAAATCCTTTTTTTTTGCTCCACTTTTAAGTTCTTTAAAGGCTTCTAGTCCAAATGGTTTTACTGCTTTTATTTATCTTTTATACCTGTTTAATTTGGGGCCATCGTTACGCGTTGATGCCACTTGCATGAATAAAGATTCAAGGTTTGAAAATGAGTTTCACCATCTTTTAGAATCTCACTGCTCATCACAAAAAGATGTTTTGAATATTTTGGTTCTAAAAAGTCGTAACTTTTAGACCAATCAACTTCTATTTGTTTGTTAGAACACGTGTCCTCCCAGCTTTAGTCCTTTACAGTCTGAAGGTCGTGGCTAGACCATGGCTTTCATCACAGACAGTGAGAACTGTTTGGTCGGTGTTTGTCTTTTCATGCCAAAGCCACAGGGAATCCTGAGAAATTAAATCATCATAATAAATAATAACAATATCAGAATTCTGTGCAGCATTCAGGAAGATGCACGGAAATTATCCTTACACTTTTTTTCCATCATTGCCAGCAATAAACACGCATACACAGATTAGTTTAACGTGTGCATGCGCTTGAAAACACACTGGCTCAGATCAGGTGTCTGTGGATGACAACTGTTTTATTAATGATGTGTAAAAAAGCCACTTTATTTTAGTTGAATAAACTTGACCCAGATCAAAGAAGACGTTTAAGGTGCGTCAGTTACAACACCAGGAAACTGAAGTCCTTGGGTCTTCAATGTTTTTCATGCCCAGACATTAGACGTGCAGCCTATATATATATATATATATTACTAATGTTAAATGTACAATTTTGTAATTTGACCATTGACTTCAGTGACGTGACCTAGGCTGCAGTGGATCAACAGCTCCTTTGACCTTGTGAGCTGAAGGCACTCAGTGGGTCAGTGCCTTCAGTGGTGTTAGCTGGAGCCTGAACCAGTCCTTGTCATTGGTCGTTTGAATGTAGTTGAGCTGAAGTGGAGTCTCGAGTAGCAGCCAACAGATGAAGATGTTCTACAACATGTCAACCTGGGTTGTTTTCTCTCTTCATCCTTTACACTGTCTGGGTTTCTCTGACCTCGGGGTCGACTCACCTCTTCCCAGACCAGGAGCGTTGATTATTAGAATTCCAGCCAGAGGGAACCTGAGCTGGACTGCTCTCAGCTCCCAATTATCCAAATGAGTGGAGCTGAGGAAGCAG